CTCCTCTAGTGGAAGTGATGGGCAAAAGGAAAAAAACTCCTGGCCTGGCCTTGTTACTCTCTCTCAGCTGCAGCCCACAGAGAGGCTGCAAGGGCCATCCTTACAGTTTCCGTTATTCATTTCTTGGCCTGGCACAAAAATAGAAATAGAAGAACTGCTTTTCCCCAGATGGAAATACTGTGTTATGATATTTGAGTGCCTTCCTCAAGCTTGTTTTCATCAGGCTGTTACAGCATAACAGGTAAAACAGTGGCAGGGTGCCAGTTCTGAATGCAAATATTTTCTCTTACCTAGAAATATGATGCTAGAGCTTAATCATTATGGTATCCCCGCCCCACACAAACAACATTGTTATGTGCCTTGGTCTTGCCAACATACTGTAACTGAATGAGATAACAGAACCTAAAATGCATTTGCTTTCAATGCTGTGAGCAAGTAGGTTTGTGCGTCTTCATGTTTAGCAGGTAGGCCACAGGCCTGTTTTCCATCAACAGGCACACACGTTCTGTTCATGCAACGCCCTCCCCACTGCTTCAAGGTAAGCTTCTGTAGCCATCCACTTGCTGCTATCTGCTGAAGATAAGCTAAAGTAATCCACCCTGCTTTGCTAACAACATAATCAGTTTCTCCTTCTTTCCGCCCTTTAAAGATAAAAGCAAGACAGTTTCAGACATGTTTAAAGAAGCGACAAGGTGAAATGTTAGAATTAAATTTGGATATATCCCAGGGTTTTGGAACGATACTGAATGAGCACTCTGCCAATTCAAGGTGACATTTGCTGCACAGGTCCCACCTAGCAGCTGGTGGAGGAACTGTATGAGTAACTGGTAGTTGCCCTAAGGGTGCAATTCAGTGTCCTCTGGTTGCATGCATCCAATGCATGCACAAGGTACAGTGCTGGCAATTTCCATCACCCTACACCACGCTCCCTAGGCTTAATCTAGGTAATTTTTGCTCTCTAGATTGAACACTGCAGCAGTGGAGGAAAGGAAACATAGAAAGAGAAGACTTCCTGATTTGACCTGTCACACCTTGCTAATTCTGGACCACTCCTTGGTTTCCTACTCGCAGGTACCAGTTTCCTGTCATGTTGTCTTCTCAGTTCCTGACCTCTGACCTGCTGTGACTACATCCTTGTCTATCAGATTACACCTTGCTCCTCAACCCACCTCTGGTTTGACTGTTAGGACTTGATACAGGAGTAGAGTTGGACTCAGGACTTATTGCACCTTGCCTGTGTCCTGGTGCCTCTATCTAGCTTCTTGCCAGCCACACCCTGGACTCTGACAGAGCGATAGCCAGCACTGTTCTTTCCACACCAGCTGCCAGGAAGCAGGGTTGGGTGCCAGGCCCAAGATTCCTGGAGAACGGTCTGAAAGGGTTCTCTGAGCCATGCTATGTTCCCTGGGATATTATTTATTTATTTAAAGCATTTTTATGCCACTCCCTTCGCAAAAAGCCCGGGGCGGCTTGCAAAGCAACAAACAGATGTAAAATAAACCTTAAAATCCGGATACATCTCAGCAGATTATAAAAACTAATAAATAAAGATAACAATTAACAGTTAAAATATCGTTTAAATAAAAAGGTCTTGGCCTGGCGCTGAAAAACAAATAACCAGGCAGACCTCTCTGGGGAGCGCATTCCATAGGTGGGGCGCCACCGCAGAGAAGGCCCTCCTCCGGGTACTCACCCTCCTAATATCTTTCACGGAGGGCAAGGTCCAGGTCCCCCAACCCGAAGCCCGACCCACCTACCAACAGGACCTCTGTCTTGTCTGGATTGAGTTTCAGTTTATTGGCCCTCATCCAGCCCATTACCTTGCTGGATAGTTGCCCAGGAACTCTAGGACTGTTCTTTAAGCCATTTATTACCTGTAACTAAACATTAGGAGAAGCATTTCAGTCTTTTATAATGGGAGCAGGGTGGATCAGCAAAATCTAAGAAGCCACCAAGACATTGGTAGCAGGGGGAACACCTGTGAGACTCGGAGAAGGAGACACCACCAGCAAGGAACCCTATCGTGTCCTATCCAGAGAGCTTAGCCTAATGAGCAGCATATAAAAGCAGTAAATAAACAAATGCGAGGACTTGAGGTGTTCCCATTTTGAAACTTTTAAAAAGATCTTCAAGTCTTCAAGGCTGCAACCTGGCAGCATCAATACTTTCATGCTTTAAATTTTCAGAAGTGAAATTGTTTATATCTGAGATGCTGTGGTGACAATCTACTTTTAGAAACTTACAATTACTCTGCTACCATTTTGGTTGCAGTGGAATGTCTGCTTTTCATTTCTCTGAAGTGCTGCTTTGGAAGTACTCCCGTACAAATTTGAAGCTGCTACACAGTGACCAGATAGGTATCGTTTGAAAAAAAAAAAGTAGGAGAAAAAAAACAAAGATGCAGCCCCCACCCAACACATACTTCAAAAATCCAAGAATGCATAAAGCTTGAAATGTAAATCTCTGTGTACTGTCTAACAGGCTCCTATAGGCCACACTGAGCAAGTTTCCAAATGAATGATGCCTTCATCAAAACTGTGGCTACTGGTAAACATTTATTCACAAATATGCGCTGTATAAAGTTGTGGTACTCAAATATTCAGTTTCCAACAAACTGATGATTTAGCTTCAGGCTGGTACGACAGTTTACCACTGGTATTTTTGAAGTATGATTCTACCCCAGTACAAAATTAAAAGCTGAAAGAACAGCTCATGAAGTTGATGTAATAAACAACTGTCCAGTAGGGGGAGGACTATTCACAACAGAAACGCTGAATTAAAAAATTACAAAACTGAGGACAAGAACAAAATTTAACTAGCTAATTCCTCTGGAAATACCATGACATAGGGATTTTTTTTAAAAAAATATGGATTTTTCAGAGCTTCCATTACTTGTTACAGACCTGCCAACAATTTCTTCCTTGAGCTCATTTACACTGTCCTGTTCTTGCATATTAAAAATCACATGCAGAAGCTACTATTTCTGCAGCAAGGCTGTAAGCGCAGTGATTTCTAGTCACAGAATCAAGCCCATTTTGGAGTTAGTTCGCAGTCAATCAAAATGTTGGTCACAGCAGGAGCAGCTCTGCTCTGGCTCAAGACATTTTACTGCCTGATGCAAAGGAAAAGATGGAGCTCCCTCCCATTCCATCTAGAATAGCTGACTGAACTATCAATTAATCTTTTTTCAACAATGGCAATGGGACAGTCTCTTCCACCACATCTGAAGGCATCAGGCTAGTGTAGGACACGCAGATCTGGACATGTGTCACAGAATTTTCTCTTCTTAGCATCTTTTTGCTGACTCCTAATAGTTGCCTAATGGTTGGGCCAGACCTGGATATGCCTATTTCAGGAATAAAAGGATGAAGATGCTTAGGTCTGGACTCTGGGTGTTTCATTAAAGAAGCCAAACTTTAGCATTTTGGTACTTGCAATTGTTTCATCAAGTGAAGAAGAAGGAGAGGATACAAGAGAGAAAGGGGAGGTTGTGGCTTCCTGCTAATCTGTGAAATGTGACTAAGCGCTCAGAGGCATTATGTTAGCACAGGGGCTTGTGAGACCAGATGACAGCTACCAGCTGCATTCACACACAATGCTAAACCATGCTGCATGGTTTCCACCTAACATGTTTTCATTCCTGGTTTTTGAGTTCAGACAATTTTGTGGTTTCCATGCTTGTCGGTTTCACTCTCCTCCATCATTTCTTCTAATGGCAGCAGGAATCCCATCAGCCCCTGTGACTGAAATTCAATCCCAGGGTACATGGCTCCTGCCTACATTGCATCCATCTCCCACATCGCTCCACATACACTCCCGCCTCATCTGGTGTCTTGCACCCCTCCCTCAGAAGCTCCCCCCACACACACCTCTGCCCACACCGTGGAGGTGACATGCCATGGGACTCCCTCCCTTGTCCCACGTCATGCTGTGAGTGGCCTCATCAGGCACTGCCCTCCACCCCTCTCCCCCCAGTTCTATAGCCAACCCTCCCTACAGGAACCACCCTCCTGCTGCAAAGCATGGCTGTGTTGCCACGGCATCACAAGGACTCGGGCGGCTGTGGCAGAGAGAAAAGCATGCCGAGTGTTAGTAAGCTAGGGGCGCCTTCTCCTGGTGCATGAGCCCTGCAGTCCTGTAGCTGTGCTCACATACTGTCTCCCATCCCCCACTAGTATGCAAGCAGCGGCTGGATGCAAGTGCCCTACATCCACCTTTCCCTGTGCCTTGCACTGCCTGCTTCCTAACTGTGCAGACATATGCTCGCACACCTGTGTACATAGCTAGCTTGCAGCCGTGTGCTAGGGACACTGCAAGCCAGCCATGGGGCTGAGGGGAGGAGCATCTGTGCTATGGCCCCATCTGACACCCCCACATCTGTCTGTGTGGCAGGCAGGAAGCCCTAAGGATCACTCTAACAAGGAGGCTGGCATCCATGTCAGGATGAAGGTTCTACTAGTGGAACGTCCATGGCTAGGTCTCCCAGATCCACTGGGAAATTGTGTTGTGGGCCTGCTGTACCTCACACTTGGTGTATTGGGGGAGGGGGCGGCAACAGTGGGAAACGCTGGCAACCCCAAAGAATGTCAGGTTAAAGGCAGGAGTGAAGGAGGGCAGGAGACAGGGCAGGGCGATGGGTTTTTTGGGTACTTGCCCTGTTGGCAATGACATGTGTAGCCCTTGTGTTCCCATCTTTGCTGAGAGGGGAATGATGCTTCTGCCAAAGAAACAAAGGCAGAACATCTCACAGGTGGCACTTCTGGGTTCACACAATCAAACAATCCATGGTAAAGTATGGAAACCATAGAACAGACTGTTGTTTCTCTCTGTAGGTCCACGGAGAACAACCTCACCACTCTGTGCCACTTCAGCTGGGTTCATACAACATGACAAACCATGCCATGTAGGTTTCCACTGTGGTTTAGCAGTACATGTGATCCCAGCTATTCTGTGTGAACCCAGCCCCTGTGACACTGACAGGAAATATCTCTAGTTCCTGCTTAGTCATTAAAATTATCTTTATTACAATCATTCATTTATTTTAACAAATACAGTTAAATCTTAGGGATACAGGAGCAATAGAATTGGTGAAGCTTCCTAATTAATTTAAATTCTAACACATTTCAAATGTTTACAAGCCAGTAATTATACAAGATTGTGTGAACTCAATAAATAGTAACATCTGGTCCAGTTCAAGTATATATCAACAATCACAGGCTTAACAGAGATAGAAAAACCCTGAAACTCTGATACTAAACACTAGTGTGCAGATCAGTAGCAAACTTTTAAGTTTTATGGGAAACTTTTTAGATTTTTTAGTTTTAAAATGAAAAAGTGATATTAACACCTGTTAAAAATAATAGGTTGATACAAGTATGAAAATATTGTAATCTCTACAGACTATAAATGTTTAACTGAGATGCTTAGCAACAGTTTATAAATAAGAAAGGTTTTTTACATCATCATAATAAATAGTCTTTTGGCTACACTTCCGATAGCTTTATGCTATACATACATAAAACTCAGTACATATGACAACTGTGAAGAATTAAGCAGGTGCAAATGTAACATTTCTTAAATGTCAAATTTTGGTGCAAGAATTTCAGAGCAAGGGGGTATTTTTGTTGCAAAAGAAAAGCTTTTCTCATCCATCACTATTACCTCCCAGCTACAGGTGCATTCTTCAGTGGGAATTGTCCATGTCAACATTTTCCATAAATTACAGCAACAGAAAGAACTTTACATTACTTACACAGACCAACAATGTCATATGTATAACACTATAAGAGTAGTCATGTTTCTCAAAGACAGAGGTGAACAGTTATTCCTTTTATTGCTGGTTTATGGCTTTTCTTTTTCAATTATTGCTTTAAAATTGTTATGCTAAAAGGTGAGATGAAATGTTTTTAACAGAGATGAGGTGTGTGCTTGAAAAATATGCTTGCCTGTCTTTTACACTGCCAAGCCATAGCCAAGAGGATCTCAAAGGCTATCAAGTGTATGAATCCATTCGGACCCACCTCTGATAAATATTAAATGTTTATGCCATGTAATTAAACAGAACCTAGTCTAATAGCAGCACACACTTACAGGAAACAGGTAAATCTTGCCCCCCACACCCCAGGAAAAGGACTGTGGTATTAGGAAACAGGAAATATAAAACATATCTGTATTTGGAAAATTTTGGCAATTTACTCAGGGGGAAGATCTCAAAAATGCCATTAGTGTGGGACGATAATCTAGTAAACTTGAGAAGCAGTAAATGATGGCAAGAACCCTTCTCCTGGATTTTTTCACAAAATGTCACATTTCTTCCAGAAATTCAAAAGGAATTACAGCAACTATACCTGCTGTTCTTTCAGATATGGCTCAGCAACTCATATGGTATCTGGTACATTTTTTTAAAGGATCAGCCTATGATTCATATTATTAACAGACTTACAGAGCTATGCATTTAGCCACTTCAAGCCTAACTGAAGCAAATTGGATCAATACGCTATTTACTTTACTGGAACTCTGGATAATATAATACATACCCTGTTGAAATACACATATAATGATCCTATACTGGGCAACTATATACTGAACATAAACCTAATGGAAATGAAATTCAGTCTGCCTGAACTAAGGCTGCAAAGTTTAATCAATTAATAGTTGAAAAGTCATTCCAGTTAAGCAGGAATCTCATTTACTGAACAAATTTAAAATGTTTATTATTTTAATCATGGAATTCAAGGCAGCATAGGGCTCCCAAGGAGCTTCTCGCCCAGGTGGAGTGCAGACCCAGCCTGCTTAGCTTCAGCAAGATTGATCCGGCATATGGATTCATTCCATGTCCTTGGACCAACCCCTTACCCTGCTCTTAGAAAAGGTATGCCTACTTCTTTCTCATGCAAAGGGGAGCATGTCTTTTATGGCAATGCAAAAACTGCATGCATCACCCCAAACAAAGCAAAATGCTCTTTTCCATTTAGAATATTACTTCATTTATGTGCAAATTTATGCAGATCTTACAGGAAATAAACTTTAAGAAAAGTAGATTATGGGACCTATCAGAGACCAAAGTGAAAAAATGTTGTGCTAGAAGTTTACAAATTTTAGTCTTTTGGAAATGGTCCAGGGCACTAAAGATGGAGGGACTTTGCAGCTGCTGTCACTTCCAATGCTGAGTGTAAACTTTTTGAATGTATAGACTATAACTACTAGATGCAATACAGAGAGTCTGCTATCATCAAAATACCAATTTTATCAGAACACACTGACCTATGAATGTGATTACAAGACTTATGGTTCATTGTAGAACAAGATGACTGAACGAAAGTATTATAATGTATTTTATTCAGGTCATTTCCCCTAGATAATTTTCATTGAGCGAATCTACCTGAAGATCTTACACTGAGAAAATCCCTGAGAATTCTGATTTAAAGAAATGTCCATGTTGCAATCTAAAAAGTTGATTTCTGCTATTTATAGATTTGTCACTGCTGCTTAACTGTATTTCAGGCACTGTTTTATTGGTGCTTTCCGTGTGGATGCATGGAACATGATGATATGTTCCCTCCTTCAACAGAGTGCAAAGTAAAGATTGCATCATCAGGATCGCAAAAACTTATGAACTGTTCCCTTCAAATAAATCAAGATCATAGCCTTTTCTCCTCAAAATGAGGGACAATTCCTGTATCATCCTGTGTTGAATCACTTCCTCTGTCATTCATCTTCAGGTTTTCTTCTGCAAGCTGTGATAGGTACTTCTGTTGGAAATGATAAAATGAAAACATATTACAATGATTGAAAATTTAGTTATCTACCACATATTTTATGACGTTGTAATTTTTATATTACTCCAAAGGGTGGAAGATGTACAAATAACTCCTAAGATGGATATACAAACCTGATATTCAGGACCAGTATCATAAATCAGCATGGCTGGGCATTTGGAAGGGCCCACAAACCAAAAAATGGCAACCTCTTGACTGCCATAATTTTGTTCCACAACTGCAATCCATCCTGGCAGAAAAGTAGTACTGCTGCTCTCTTTTGTCACCCAAAGAAAAGCAGCAGCACAGCAGTGGCTGTAGGTAACCTCTCCCTCAACATGCTTTTCCTTCTCACATTGGGCTTCTGGGTTGCACAAGAAGAAGCAGTGGATGCCACTATTTTTGGATGCATTCTAGTTGTTTTGTTTTCTAGGGAAGTGAGGGAGAAGGAGGGAGTACTTGCAGCACAGAGACTAGAGTAACGCTGGCACCATTTTCACATACTCAAGATGGGTCCTGGTGCCTGAACTATGCTTATAGTGCTACCTAGGACAAAAGCCAGACACCTGATGGAGTGGCAACTGACAACCCTTCCTGTTCAGATTCCTCTTGTCTTAAGATGAATCCAAGGTGAGTACACAGACTCACCCATTCAGGCCTTGTTCGCTTGTCAATGTCCACTAAGGTTTGTACAAATAGGCAGCACTTCATTCCTGACAATGGGGTGCAAACCTTAAAGAATTCAGAACTTCTATTCCATCCCAGTCTTTGATGTGTGTGAGAGCTATTTTATATAAATGAAAAAAACTATCCACTCACTCTTGAGAAACAGAAGATTTCTTTTTTTACAGTAGTGTGAAAATAGAAAATACTGAATGTTCTACTTGACAAAGTCTGCAATGTATTGTAAACATGAAGAAACCTTCCTGTATTACTCGCAAGAGTTAGTACCATTTTATTTTGCTCCTTGGTTATAATAGTTCATATATCCTTATATACTTGCAGTGGAATAAAAATCTCACCAATTCCTAATTAATTTTCCTTCTCCAACAGAGAGTTGTGCTTGTTTAGTTGATTATTATAAGTTTCCCTCAGAATAAAACATCCACTAATTCTCAAAATCCCCTACTTCCAAAGGGGTACATATATAACTAAACAAATCATGGTTAATTCTACAAAGTGTTAAGAAACAGAGGAACAACATATTTGTAGGATTTTAGCCTTCATGCAGAAAGTAGCATTTGCACTTGTATGGTGCAGAGGTTACCTAGAGGTTTGGATGCTAAAATTAGCTTACAGTATAATTCATTTACTCAGAAGTAAGGCCACCGAGTCTAATGGGCCACACTCCCAAGTAAGTGTGTATCAATCACAGCCCCGAGGTTTCGGCAAGGGGCGGCACAGAAATGCTATAATAATAATAACAACAACAACAACAACAACAACAACAACAACAACAACAACAACAACAACTAACTTTCCAAATGGGAAATTTCCCGTTTCTTCCCCTGTTGCAGATGGCAAAAGCCTCTCTGGAGAGTCAAGAGACACTCGTAAATAAATGCATGTCTGGTTGTGTGTGTGGATTGCCATGACTGCATGATTGTTTACATCACTCTGTAATTGACACAGCTTGGTGAGAAGACTATGGGCCAAGAAATGCTGTAAGGGACCTCTGTTTACCCAGTTCTGATATCTGTAAGGTCTTGAAATTCTTTCTAAAGCTCTGACATTTGCTTACTTATCAGTTGCCTCAGAATCTTCATACCAAGAAAACTAGTAGCATGTTTAAATGACTGATTTCAGTCTTCTGTGACTACCAACTTAAAGGAAAATCTCCAAGCAAAGTTCAGGCCTCTTCTATGGAGGATTTGTGTGAATGACTTCTGTTTGGCTATCAAAGGAATCCATCTGACAGATGCTGATCTAAAGATTTGTCTTTTCTTTAAATAAATCCATAAATTGATTGAATAAATTTTACCCTGCCTTTCTATCAAGAAAAATGGCACAAGAGCATTGAAGAACTGCATCTGACCTGTTTATATATTTCCACTTTGGACATGGAGTACATGAAGTGTGGAATGATATGGTCTGGAATGTTTGCCTTAAGGGAAGGATCGAGTCTTAATCTATGAGCAAATTGTATTGCCAGCATGTTTGTGGTATTTCTAGGAAACATTCAGTGAATCACTCATGCAAGAACCACTCTGGACTGGCAAACTGCACACATTCTACAAGCCTTCTGAAGCATTAATTATTCCAAAAACTTGTGTCCTCTAGGTTATCCAGCTTACATATAAGCTTCCAATCTGCTGCACGGATAACTTTCCATCTGTGAACTTCCTTAAAGTAATTTGTCTTTGAATCCAAGCCATAGAATATGCAGGTTTAAAGGCATATCTAGGAGTAAGTCCTACTGAAATCATTGAAGTTCACTTCCGAATAGACATGCATAGAGTTGGGCTATGAGTGTGGATTGTAATTTTAAAATTATATACATTAATTTACTTTATTTTCTGTTTTAACAGTAAACAAATAATTTTAAGCAATATAGCTGACTATATTTTAATTTAAACAATTTAATTTAATTTAAACTTGTAATCCAGGGGTGTCAAACCTCTTTCAGCAGGAGGGCCTAATTCAGTTATGGAGAAGCTCTTGGGGCCACATTCTAGTGATGGGTGGGACCAAAAGCAAAAGGGGCAGGGCCAGAACACCCAAATCCCAGCATTCCTTTTGCTTAAAGCTCTTAGTGACAGGAACTTCAGTTCAATATTTATTTGTTTAAAATCAAAATCGATCAGGTTTAGAGGAGGAAAACCACCTAACAAATCCAAAATAAAGAATCAAAGCAAAAAATCTCCACCACTTATAAATACAGTTATATATAAAGCTGTCTAACTCTGAAAGCAGTTATTGAACCTTGGAAAGTAACAAATTTGTTCTAATTTGTCAAAGCACACCAATTTTCTTAGGACTTTTCAGGACAAAAAAAAACTCTATCTAGGTGACTGACATTAATTGTATGTTAGAAGGGGCATATTGGCCTTTTTTAATGGGGAGTAAACCATGGAGCTGACCTTATTAGAATCATCCCTAAAAGTTATTCTTATTAACAGAATCCAACCAGCTGCTATCATGGATGACACATAAGTAATAAGCACTAAAATAACAAGAAGACGGTTCCAAGAAAGCCTGATCATCCATGTTAAAGAAGAAAATCTTCTTTGCATGTTTAGATCAACTTTTTCTCCTCCAGGTTCATGGAGACCCCCTTCTTTGGGAACTTGAAATGAAACTTGGTCTTTCATGGTCTATGAAGAATTTTAATGATGAAACAGAAGAAAGAAAACTTAACTGGAACTTTTAGTTCAAAGAATATTTAAGCTAAATCCTCAAAGAGTCTAGAAAACAGCAGGTCATTTCATTTGTTATCTGGAAGGCATTTACCATAAAAGGAAGTGAAAGATGTCCCCCTGCCAAGGAGACATTTGTAAAGCTAACATTGAGCAATCAAAGGCTGAGCAAAATTGCTCATCTAAAAGTTGCTTCATACAATGCACATACACAAAATGTTTATGTGGTTTTGTAAAAATATTGAAAAGTATACACAAACATGTTTGCACACAGTGTTGAACATCTATAGAGTGCAAACTGACACAGAAACATTACCAGGGAGCTGATATCGGCATGAAACTTTGCTGCATAGGTAAGCAATAGTAGAGACTTGGTTGTTGCTATATAATGGCAGAGGGACTGTCCAGAAAGTGCCATCTAGCAGGGTTGAAAGAAAATTGATTCAAGGATATTGCGCTTGCTCGCTCGCTCGCTCGCTCACTCTGTGTGTGTGTGTGTGTGAGAGAGAGAGAGAGAGAGAAAGAGAGAGAGAGAGCGAGAGCGAGAAACTCTGTCACTTCCCTTCTGGACAGACCCTCAACCCCCCCCCCCCCCAATCATGCCAAAGTCTTTTGAAAAGAGGAAGGGCAATGCAACTAAACTGTGAATCACAGATGACATCACTTTTCTTTCTTTTCAAGTCTGATCACTCTTTATACTGCTTGGTGGTATCACAGCCATATTCAGGGTATGGAGGTCAATGCCCTTGATACCAAGTGGAAGCTTAGGCCAGCTGTATTCCTAATTAAAAGTTTAATTCAGCATGAACACACACAAATGGAAAAAGCTGACAACTGTCTAAAGTGCTTCTAATGAACCCTTGCCAAAGAAACACCAGTTGCTTCACATGCTTAAAAGGAGTTTCATCTGTTGTTTAGGTTCACTAAAACCATTAATGTTTATGGACCTTTAATGAGGCAATGCATATTTTTCCAGATATATAAAATGGCTTTGGCCTTGGATTAGTGGCTGCCCTAAAGGGAGAAAAAGAATCTTGAGGGCAAGTGTTTCACCTGTTACCAGCTACTCTTTCATCAAGGCCTGTGCGTGACTTGCTACTGTGCTGTAGACAGTGTTCTGTATTAACTTGCAAAATGCACTTAATTTTGCCAAGGCTGTGTGCATGATGGTTAATCTTTGCTTGATGTGTTACAACTCTTGAAATGTGCAGCTAGGGAATTACACCAAAGCTCTTTGACTTCTAGATGCCTTTGACAACTCTGAAGATTTAACAGAAGGCCTGAAATTATAATAGTGCAAGATTTAGTGGTATGGAATGACCAACCATTTAATAACTGGTAAAAACTGCAATGAGAGCCCTGGAAAGCCAGGGAAAAGAGCTGTGGCAAGCACATTTCCAAGCAAAAGAGGTCTTTTGCCTTCTTTCTGATATCTCTACAGATCCCCAATATTTTAAAATGTTTTTCATTCAAAATATACTTTATTGAAAATAGCAGCATGCAACAAGAGAGAGTAATATATTTTCAGATATGGGTATCTATAGGTTGGGGCTTTGTACCAGAAACTCCCAGGGTCTTACTCTTTTAGAAATTTCATCGGATGTGGCAACTTATCTTTTCCAATGCTCATACTCATTCTGAATATAAAGGACAGAGCAACATGGTAAAGGACTGACCTTTGTAAGTGAAATCGGTGTTCCAGTATTAGGAGCTATGCATTTCCATAACTTTTGTGGTATCCTGTATCAGCTGTGCTGAACTGAACAGGTAATGATCGAAGCTGTTATGAATCATCCCATTACTTCTCTATGGTGTATGGTACAGAAATTCATATATTCATACCCAAAAGTGACTGCACTGCATATAGATGGTCCATGAGAACATCAAATAAGCTAAGAATGTTCCAAAGCTCCTAGGTAAGAGGTAATCAAGGGTCTCAAACACCTATGTATGATGCTTCCTCTTAGAACCAAGGTTGTGAGGTTTCAGGTAGCCATGGCTGTAGTATACTGGAATAACCTCTGAACCCTGCCTTGGACGCTATAATACCTATGGTTCCAGGAAGGAAAAGAAGGTGAAGGTCTTACAAATACTATAAGCCTGCTTAAAGACATGCATTAATAATTTGCATGAATTAATTTATTACCTGAAGGTTTCTGTAGTGAACTGTACTTCTGCAATGACGAGTCTTTGCTGCCTCTTCATTTGTGTAGAAAAGTCCACAAAGCTTGCAGTAAAAACCAGTTCTAGGCACAACAAATTCCACTCCTATAAAAAGAATTTGTATTACAGTGATGAGGAAGTGTCATATAGAAGAAACATTCTTTAACTTATCACTGTTACAATAATGATAATTTATGCATATTCTTGTGATTTCAGGATTTTACATATCCACCTAGAAGATGTTAGACTAGAACTCTAATCATTTCTGACCACTGGCCATGCTGGCTAAGACTGTTTGGTATTAAGGTCCAACATATCTGGAGGGATGCAGTCTCCCCACCCTGATACAGTTCATTATTCTTCTCTGTTATCATCTCCATGTGTTAGGTATCTATGATTTTTTTCTTAACTTGCTGTTTCTTATTTTCAGTATTGCCACAGGGGCACAATTTAGCCCATAGAAACAAGCCAGATTATTTGGGCTAGTGGATGTATTTGGGGGAGTTATTCCCAAAACAGATTCATAAATGAAGAACCAAACTGAAGGCATAAGAAAAACTAGTTTCAGTTACACCAGGTACTCCACTTTACTACCAATTCTTCAGTTTGGAAATGGTCCTCAAGTGCCATTCTTCACTAGACCATTAATAGCACTTGAACAATTAGTGATTATATCTGAACCAAAGGCTTCATGTCTAACATGGAAATGATATTAATTATGGAATCAATGGGAACAAACAAAGCTGAAATAAATATATTACAATCTCATAGGCTCTGTTCTTACCCCCCAATCCCATAGCTTCTCAATCTTTTATATAATGTTTGTAGGTGATCATTAAATTCTGTGGCTCCTGGAACCACTGAAGAACGCCCCTCTAGCCCAAACCTCTACTCCATCCAGGCTAGCATTTCCAACTGACTTTCTGCTATTCTTACTTAAATGTTTTGTACTCAGTTTGTTCCAGACCTAACTTATCTTTCCTCCTAAACCTTCCTTTCCTTGACTATTTTGTTTGTCATCCAATCTGACAAACTGGTCTAAAGATTTGTCTTTTCTTTTATCATGCTTTATCTTTCTTCTCCCTCTCCTCTTTCTACATATTTACTCTGAAGTAATAACAATGCTTCCTCTTCTGTACACAATTGGAAGCGTCTTTTCATCAGGTGGAACTCTGGTCTGTACCCTCATCATCTCACAACGTACTGCAACCTGACCCTATTCAGAACTCCAGCTGAATCACATGAGATTTTTAGGCATGCAGAGAATAGGCACCTGTGATTTTCTAGCCCTGATTACTTGATTACTTGCTTATGGTCTTCAGTGCTGTTCTCAGAAATAGATACTTCATCATTGCTGGAGAAACATACATTAAAAAGTTGTTTTCTTTGTGGAATCCTTGTTATCATACATACCTAGTGGAATGCTGAGCTCTGTAAACACATCTTCTTGTCCCCATGATGGTGAAAAATAAGATCTTTTGGATTCTACCTCTGGGAAGTCAGGAGTTTTCATTTCTGGATAATTTGCTTTGAAACCAAAGGAACATGCTGAATGAAACCAACTTAGTGGCATGCAGAATTACTTGCAATACTAATTCAAAATATTTTATAGATCAATCCATATTTTATAGATTATCTGCACATTAGATTTTTTTTCCAAATCACCACATTGTTACTTAGTATTCATGGAGAATTCAGGTGAGGCTGACAAATTTATTTGTTGTATTTATACCTGACTTGTTTCCTGTGGGGACCAAAGACTGCTTACATAATCCTCCTCTTCTGCATCTTACCATCACAACACTCCTGTGAGGTAGGTTAAGGCAAGTGTCAGTAACTGGTTCAAAGTCACCTAGTAAGAGTCATGGCCAAGTGAGACCAGGACTATGTAAGCCACCTTGCAAGAGCTAAAAAGCTGGGATATAAATGTAATGTAACAACTACTGATTTGCTGAGTCCCAGTCCATTACAGTACACTGGCTGTATTCCAGTATTTTCTGGACTGACTTCTTTTTTCAGTCCTGATTTATGACCATTTTGGATTGGAAGGTGGGGCTTCCAAACACGATGCAGTTTAGTCTGAGTGGCAAACCATGACTGAGGTTTTTCAGGGATACTGTTCATTTAATTAAAAGGTTTCTCTTGGTGGCTTGTGCTTCCTATTTCCTTATAGGCCAAATCAAATAGTGCTTCCTATTTCCTTATAGGCCAAATCGTATCTGACCTTCTGGTCCCAGAGACTCTTGATTACCAGTATACTTTTGAACCCAAGAAGTATTCATTTTATTTTAATGTGAGCACAATTTTGCAGTTTTCTAACTGTAAAATAAAAATAATGCCTTACTAAGCAATTGATTTAACGGCAAAGAGTGCACATGTGGTGGGACTGAGATGAGAGTTGAGTTGTGGGGGCAAAAGTAGGCCTAGCTTCAAGAGGAGAACTCACTGGATGAACCTGACGCAACCATCATCGCTACATTCTCCTAACCTACCGCATAGGTTTGTTGTGAAGATAAAATGAAGGCAGGATAGAAACATGGACACTGCCCCTTGGAGGAGGGGCAACCTAAAAGTGTAGTACATATTATAAGGATATAATGCAGAATTAGGGGGCATGTGAAAGCACAATGATGTGTGTGAAAGAGCAATCCTTCAGAATGCTAAAGAGCCCTAGCATGGAAGTAATCCAGGAATGATGTTTAACACAGCCCAGCTGTCAGTAATAAGTTAGCAGCAACTACCCACACACTTTGTGGGTTTCAGTTATGAGTTCATGTGAATCACTCATTGCCTGTGAATCTGTTAAAATAGTCTTAATAGCTCACAGAGTTAGGAGATGTCTTTCAGCTCTCTCTCTAAAGCTGAAAGGTATTTGTGTGGGTTCTGCATTTGCTCAAAGCAGCAACAGAAGCACAGGGTGCTAAATTCTTCATCTGCAGCAAGTTATTCTGAACAAAAATGCCTTTCCTTATTGCTTTTTCCCCTTTGGAAGAAGAGAGAGAGGCCCTGTACATTTATAAGTAGCAAAGTAGCATGTTTTGGGTCATGTATATTAAGCACTGCAACTCCTGTTTTTATCATCAAATTTGCAGCTCCTGTGGCTGCATTTCAGGGTTGTTGTTTTTAAGAAGTTGATAAGATTGATAGTGCATGAGCAAAACTTCATCCAATTTGGTTGGAAAACTGAATTCAGTTCATATGTAGAATGCTTAATTAATCTCTTGGCCAGTATGTTGAGAGGCACCTTCCAATCTAATACCTGGACTGAAGATTTTTGGTGACATGTCTCTAGATAACAATCCAGTGAGAAATATACCAGAACTATCTAGAGATTTGTTACAGAAACTAGAGCCCAAGTATTCCCTACCACACAGTCCAAAATGCATACGTATAGAACAGATAATCTATCATCAGTCCAAGGGTATTGCCACAGTAAAAACCTTTGGCAGGAACAGTAACTCTTGATGGAAAAAAATGGAACCATTTTTTAATAATGTGTTCCCCTGAGCTGTCCCCACATATTTTTAAGAATTATTTAATATTCAAAAATCAAGCAATTTTATCAAGTAATCATAACATTAATATTTCAGATGGGGTTGTCTCTTATACATTATGCTGCTTCAAGGTGATACAGGATTTATGTACCAACAGGCAATATAAAGTTTTGCCTTATACACAGAACAAGCAATCCTGACTTCAGGATGAGGTTGTCTTCTTTCCCATTCTCATCTTCCCTGTTCTAATGTTTCCCTTTAATATTAAGGGAAAGAAAATAAATGATAATAAAATGTCCTTACAGGCTCAAGGCATAAAAGTTTACATGGGCACTGCGATACCTGAAGTTTTTGCAGTCCTGAAAGTAAAAATTTGACATTTGTCATAGTAATACCTTTATCTCTCATGAAAGGCTATCAAAGAATGGTATAACTTATCAGGAGAATAGCACACAGTGCAAGTATTTTTAAACAAAATAATTTTACATTAAAAATTAGGAATAATTTGTTTTAAAAGCAAACATATTTTTTAAAAAATAAAAGTCATGACACAGGGGACAAAATGTAAGAATGGCTCTCCCCAAGATGATATTAGTTCACCTGCCACTTTGCCCACTTTCATCTTCCTCCTCCCACCTGCTGTGGGACAAAACCAAAGACCTGCAGGAGGAGGGCGAGGAAAGCAAAAGGTGATAGAGAAAGGAGACATGGTGAATATATACTTTCTCGCTTGCCAGATCAGGGAATACATTTGCATGTAGTCATACTTAAAGTAGAACCTTTCAAATCAGTAGGACTTACATTAGTTGTCCCTGTGATTTCACTGGGTCTATGTACAACATGAGTAAGTCTGAATCTAATCTATAATTTCTCAGCTGACCAGTGGTAACACTATGCTTTTTAGATGTAGGCCAGCTATGCAGACTGAAAGACCTGTGAAAAGAATCCTTACAATCTGGGCCTCAGTCACTGAGCAGGGAAATATACGGATGGCTTGCCAAAAGCAACAGGTTGTCTTGTGTAGTGTCTGGATCAGTCAGATCTAAATGTTTTTGTCACATAGATCAGCTGACTAAAGATACTTGAAGCTAGCTGTGCCCTCCAGTTACATAGCATCTGAACCATAATCCCATTGTCTGAATAGTAGCCACAGAGCTTCAATATACTGTTGGGTAGAATATATGTTTATACCTCAACGTTATTCCCATAAAGCATCTCTTTCCAATGCAGGATTTTGGATTTGTTTTGTTTCAGTTTTTGCACTGTATTCAGCTGAGCTCAGATTTGAGCAGGCTGTAAGATCCTTTCCAAGGCATACAACTTGCTTTTCTAAAATGTTAAAAGGTTTCAAAGAATAAATTAATGAAGTAACTATATGTTCTGTAAATATTTTCTAATTAAACTTACATATATCACAAGCAATGCAACATATGGGTGATGATAACCACTTATATAAATCTATTAAATAATAATTAATTATGGAATAGGGCACATAAGTCACTGTGAACTAGCATGCAAAGAGAATGAAGCTTAACCATCTGAAAGGCCATTTTGTGACAAATTGATCTGCTTTGTAAGACATCTGGGGAATTATATTAAGCAGAAAGAAATGACTTTATTGTTGGCCTATTCTTCTCACTAACAATTCTAAGTAATTTAAGCAGGGTGTTCTGAAGGTTCAGCTCAACTTATGTGAACCCAGGAGTGACGATAAGAGACGTCTCTTCCAGAACATTTGCTTGACACATATCTGATTTCCTTGACTCTATCTGAATAAGGACCTCTAATGGTTTCATTTTGACAATACTATTCTTCTACCGACTTCCTTCCTGGCCAACAATTATTTTTACTGACAACATAATAGCAACTAAAAAAATATACTGCACAGATAAAATACTTAAAATTTTACAGCATGAGAGAGGGAAATATATATTAGTTACCCTGAGCCTTTTGATGGTCCTGACTTCCACAGCCGGTTTCCTCCTGGGACTTTTTTGTCAGCATTTCCATAGCTTTTCCTTTCTCAGTTTCTAGTGATTCCATTTCTTTATAATCATTAATATATGTTTCATTCTTCTGGGGCTCTTCTTTTGGAGGATCAGAAGATACATACTGCTCCTTCAGATGTAAATGAATATTAGCACTTTCATCTATTTTTCTTTCCTTATCGTGGTAATCAGGATCCTTCTGAAGTCTGCCTTCATGCAATTCATTTGGCTTCTGCTCAGTGTCCCAATTTAGACGTTGTGCTTTAGTAGCTGTATTCTCACCTTCAGAGGCACCAGGATCCCTTGCGCTTTCCTTATCTGACCCTATGCTTGCTTCCATTCCATGAGATTTGTTTTCACTTCTATTTAATAAGCTATCCTCATTCTTCAACTCCAGGTCTGTACCTAAGGCACTCGTTAGGGGACATTCTTGGTCTTTCTGACATACTGTTACTATTTCTTCAAGTTCAGTTATATCAGGTTCCATGATAAGGTCATCTTCTCCCACCTCATCTACAGTTACTAGTTCTTCCATATTAGTTGGATACCATGTCTCAGCTTCCATCTCACTTCCACTCTCCCAGTCCTGTAAAAGATGTAAATATCATTGTGAAGATGTCACTAAATGGATATTATCAATGGTCCAGTTTAGATGCAACTACAAATCAAAGTTTGTTTAGAAGAATCAAGCCGTAGTATACTTAAGGCTTATCCATATCCTCAGCCTCTCAGCCTCCTCTGCACAAGAGGAGAAGACTGGATATTGTCCTATGTCCTAGGGAAATGTCCTGTGTCCCAACTTGAGAGAGTCTGCTTTATTGTAACTCTGGTTAGTTAAAACAGAATCGAATCACAGGTTGCTATCATCACATACAATTGTTGTATGTGAACTCTACTGTATGAGGGGCTATAAGAAAAGTATTTTGACAGGCCAACTTAAATATGTAATCCTTTAACACAGGGGTCTCAAACTCAACTTACCTGGGGGCCGCTGGAAGTAGAGTCTGGGTGAGGCTGGGCCGCATCAAGTATTCCACCACCGCAGTGGTGGTGGGCCGCTCATCCTGCGTCGCTCCTGGGCGCCGCCAACGCTTTGAAGGCCGCAGGGCCCCTCCCCCGTGCCCCACCCATCCCGGCAATTGGCCCGCGGTCCGCGAGTTTGAGACCCCTGCTTTAACACATTTACTTGCTTGTTAGTTCCAGTGAAAACAATAGGATTCACATGCAGACATTTGTGCAGAACTGAAGTATTGGTAAGTATTAAGTCCACATCAGCAACTAAAATTGTATGGTAAGTAATAATACATACAGCCATTTAGAGTACCTATATTCTGCTCTTCAACACGTTTTGGGGGCAATTACAAAAGAGAATATCAAAGTAATCAAATGGTGTAAAATAAATAGAACAAACACCAGCAATAAAAAAATAGAAGCAGCATACATTCACTGGCAAAGCTAAACCTGTATTAAAATGCCTGGAAAAATAAAAACATCTTTGCCTAGCATAAGTAGGACCCAAGAAAGTTTCCCTAAAGGGGAATGCCACAGTTTAGGTGCCACCACTGAAAACATCCTTTCTTTGGAGCCAACTGCGGTTATCAGAGAAGGATCTCAGAATGTGATCTCAATATAGGCAAAGGAGAAGACAAATCCTTGGGAAGACCCAAGTGGTGAAAGATTTTAAAACCCATTCTGCATGATCCAAACAGCCCACTGTGTGGATTGTATATTTAATGCTCAGCTGCTCATGTTGTTCAAACCAGTTGGTAGTGGTAGTATGACGCTTAAACCAAATGCACAGTCTGTGGTTGGATTATTTGCAACTTTTGCCATCTGGATTCATACAATGACTGGATGCCAGAATATACAAAATGGCCATCCAGATGAACAGGAACACACTATGGATTAAAAGAACTGTGATTATGTGAACCAGACCTAGAAAGCAAAACCAGCACAAAGGTTTTGGGCACAGAAGCAAAGTGGGCACCAGTGAAGTTGGTGAAGCATGGGTGCAACATGCTCATGTTACCTATGAGTTCCAATTAGGCATCTCACAGCTATATTCTGAACTAACTGAATGCAAACCCAGAGACAATGCATTGTAGTGGTTAAGAAAAATGCATTAAATTGTAAGCAAGCAAGCACAAACACTTGTGTTTTCAACCTACCTGCAAATATTTTAAAACAACTATTTAAATTGATCTGGAAGCTAGTGATGTGCATTGGATTTGAGTGAAGCCTGAGCAGAACTGGTACGCTTCAGCCCAGTTCTGTTGCTTCCAGAGGGGAATTAGACTTCTTGATGTCCACAGAACAGAAGTTGCTCCAGAATGACTCATATTTTAGAGATACAGACTTTGCATCTTCCACGAATAGCATATTTTTGAGGCGTTCCTCTAAACACCGGTTGTTAGCATAGGGAGAGGAGACACAGTGACTGTGGTTGTGCACCTGGTTCACCTTTCAATCTTAAGACATATTTTACTTCAAACACTGAGGAAGCTTTGAGCTCTATTAAGCGTTTCATAAAATTTTGGCTGTTTTCTGTTCTCTCAGTACCGTGGAGCAAGTCAGAGTAGAAAGTAGTACAGTGATAACTTCTTTCTCACTAAGGTGAGCTACTCATCAAAGTTTGTTTAATTTCATTCAGAAGCATCCTGTACTTTCTGTTGTAACTCAATCTTTCACTCAGAACTTTTTCTACACAAAGCTTTCAACTGGCTGTCAAGGCACCGTATTTACTTCTGATTTAATTGCATAAATCCAAGCACTACATGAGGAATTTCCTTTCCTGTTTTTCCACTATAAAACTTTTAGGTGGTGCTGTGGTAAATACACGAAATACATGAAAGAAAAAGTACAAATACACACATAAAAAAGGTTTCTTTCCCTTTCATAATAATAATAATAATAATAATAATAATAATAATAATATATACACACACACACAATAAAATGCTTCCCTCTGTTCTAAAGCAATTCACTGAAAGTGATTATTAGACACAGAAGCATAAATGGAGGGTTTCAACATTGCCTAAAGCTCCTGTGAGCAACCATGAGTAAAGAATGACAAATGCACAATAAATGTATCATGTAGAAAAGATTTTGGACTTTCTGGAGCAATGATTCACAAGCAACATAAGGCTTTAAGCATTTGGCATTTCTCTCAAATATGTGTGTCTATTGTAAACAGTAAAGGGGACACTGCACCTATTTTTCTTGCAGATGGTAGGTGCAATCCCCTAAGGAGTTACTAAAACTCTGCTATCATCCATTTCTAACCACAGGAAAAAAAATAGCCATTTTTTTCCTGTGACAGTCAGTAGGAAGCACAAAACTTCGGATTTCTGAACCTTGACTCAGGTTTGGTACCAAATGGATTGTGGGCTGACTGTCCCATTTTCCAAAGTGCCAAATCTGGGCTTGAGTTGAAGCTGGGGTTGAGGTTGTATCAATACTGGAAGCACACTTTATGGAAGTTCTGATCTAGTCATATGTATTTATTAAACTATCTCCATCATGCATTTGTCATGTAATAATTGGAATACTACCATGCCACATTAAGTAAGTACCATCCTAAGCATCTGTTTGCAGGTAAAAAGTGACTTATGTTGGTTGCTTTAATTTCCAGTAATGCAGGCTATAGCAAACAATCCTTTTCTTCCATTCACTGTGAGGATTTTTCTCAGTGGAACTGCCCTTACAGAACTTTACAAGGAGGGGAAACCCTATGATTTTTCAGCTCCTTCTTTTCATTATTATCTTAATACAGACAGGCAAAAATGGTTAAAATAATATTGAATAAAATTATGGCATGAAATAATTTTATCAATCAATATCTATTCAAATAGCTATATGTGGCACAAATTTAATTTACAATCATAATAAGTTTATGAAATATTGTACTTATTGTTCTGCTTATTGTTGTTTGACAATTTGATTTCATTGTTTTTATTTTTTTCTGTTTTGCTTATTGTCCTGTTGGGCTGAAATTTTTCCGGGCAACCTAACAGAAATTAAGCTTATTTAATTTCTCCGCTATTCAGTCAATTCAGCTGATCCTTTTAGTGTCCTAGAAAGGTACTAAATGCAGATATCCTCAGGGGATAAGTTTCCTGCTGCTACAGATACTGATAGCTTTTGCATCTGATGATCAGCTCATGACCCTAAAGGTATGCTGGAAAACATCCAAGGACATTGGTCTGTATCTTCATAGCTGGACTGCAGGACTGACTTTTCAGATATTTAATTAATCAAAAACATTTAAAAATGAATTTATGAAAATTCCTAATATCCATAGCAGTTCATTGAGATTAACTCCACATTTCTTTGTTTTCCCTTAGCATAAATGTAACAAACAACCTTTGGACATAATGACAAAGCTGTATACTCTTTTCAAGGATACCTCATTTGGATGGCAAGTGCCAACTATTCAGTGCAACCCATGCGTGCAGAGAGCAACTAAAAAAAGAGTCTGAGGTTCTGTCCAAGGAAGCAAAGGTCACGATGAGGTAATTTAGAATCTCCTGAAGACTTTTAGAAATGCCCTTTAAAGAGGTATAAGATTTCACTGACAAATACATTCATTGTGTTTGCTTCTAGGCCTAACTCAAGATGATGATGATTTCCTTTAATGCTCTATAAACAAATGAGAGTCCAGAATATTATAAAGCAGAGGTTTTCAAACTGCTCCACAGACTAGTAGTCCACAGAAAGATTGCAGAATAGTCAAGAATAGCTGCACTTGGCTCTGTGCTTGATTTTTTTCCCTTTTGATGGTGGAGGTGGAGGAAATCATGGCTTTTTTGGTCATGAAAAATGACCAAACAGGCTAACAAGGCTTTGGCCTAGGATCCATCATTTTCAAAATATGGTGCTAGCTCAGTCTGCCAATGCTCATTTCTGCAGTTTAAAGAGATCCTTCTTGTTTGAAAAGGGTGTTGTCAATAAACTGCACACCTTGCTTTTCACCTAAAAAGCACCCCTCCAAGCACAAATCCTTAAAGGAGACCACTCATGTCCTTCTATTATGAAAACTGATGAATTTGTGTTCCTTTTTGTTCTTTCCATCTGAGCAAGACTCCCATTTTCTGAAGCCTTCTTAAAATTTACATCTAGTTAGCCATGCTGGTGACTTCTTGAATGTTGTAATCTCCTTTCCTGACTTGCAGGATACATTTTAGCTGAGATTTTGACCTCTTGACTTTCTATTGCAACTTCCTTTTCATCAGTTCTGTCATTTTAGAGAACTTTCTCTTCTGAAGGCAAATATAAATGTACTGGACTTCCTTGGCAATTTTTCATTTATGCATAAATTTAATTTACAGCTCTACAGTCACTGTTTCCAATCAGTTCAGCAACACCCATATGTTGCACAAAATCCCGGATACAACTTAGGATGAAGTACAGATTCACCTAAGTTCTGGACCAGTTTCTGACCCAGCTCTAGGGTCGAGTAAGGATAGCAAATAATTTTACTCTCTGTCATGAGTAGAACACACATTTATCAAGCGGGTAGTTAAAGTTTCCCATTGTTACAGCACATTCTCTTTTGGATGCCTCCCTGATATTATTTTCTATTTCAAGGTCACCCTGAGCATTTTTGCCAGGGCAAGGATACCATGGCCTCAGCACCATGTTTTTTGTGTAGTATTGTTCCTGACAGCAAATGTGTATAACTCACCTTCTCTCTTCTTGAAGTTTCAACAGAATCTTCTGTTTCTTTGATGAGTTTATTTGTGGGTAAAGAGCTGTTCTCCACATCGAAATCCCCCTTTTCAACCTAAGACAGAGAGTCTATGGGTGAAGAGATGTAGTATAAAAAGTGAACTCACAGTGCATTCCTCACATCATGCTGTGTGCACCTCCCACCTTCAAAATTTGACTGATAGATGTATATAACAGGAAATAAAATAGCAATTCAACGATGAGCATTGCTTTTCTCTCCATGCTTCAGACAGGTAGTCTGGTTTGGATTTGTTTTTAAATTTAAGCATCAAGTGTACTTTTTTCACTTCATTTGTAATCTTATTATAAAGAAACTAAGAGACATGTTTTAAAACTACAAGAAAAGGAAATATTTTCTGTGTAACATGATGGGTCTTCAGTTGCTTCTGCAAGACTTAACAGTCAGTTTTGTTAAAGCTCAGCCCTGCAGTGGGTCATTTGGCCTGAACCATCGAAGGTACTTCTACATTCAAAGGACTGCTCTAATTCTTTTTGACTGTCTTCAGTATAATGGTAATGGCATCTGATCATAATTGTAAACAGATACATTATTTTGTGATGGTAGCTATGTGTATTTTCCAGTTTATACCCAATATTATTACTAAAAAAGACATAGATTGCTATGTATTAGTCTTTTCCCATCTGCTGTCCTCCGGATGTGCTGGAATACAATTCATATCATGCTCCAACCAACATGACTATTGGTTGTACTGACTGGAGATGATGGGAATTGTAGTCCAACACAGCTGGAGGGTACCAGGTTAGAGGTAGGCTGCAACAGAACAGGGCATTAAAATAGTTTATTTCCTTACCTAAGATATAGATATATATATACAGAACACAAATCAGCGTGTCACCTGATTTGAACTTTTGCCTTAAAGTTAGTAAGAAATAGGGAGACATACTTTTGATGGGAGTCAAACTTTTCTGTGTACTTTAGTTTACTCTGCAGAATCTCTGAAGTTCTCTTATAAGGAGGATGCTGATTAATTAAAATGGCTTTCATAGTATTCCAATAGTAATTTAAATGATTTATTACCTCATTCTCAGTTTCTTCTCCTTTCTTCACATTAACTTTTACAGAGGCACAAGGTACCTCTTCCTCTGACTTTTTCTCACCATCCTTAATTTTTTCCTTATCACTCTGCTTTTGCCTAATACTGTCAGGCAGCTTGCTGGGCTTTTGCTCTGATGTTTCTTCTTTAGCCGGGTCTTCCCCATGTGAATGTCTGTGCTCTCTCAGCCTTGTCTCTTCCTTCCTTTTACACTTTGGGGCTGCATCCACTGACTGCTTCTGATACTTATCAGATTTTTGTTTAGAGGGTTTTCTGTAATAGTCTTCCTCTCTGCTCTTATATCCAGGCAAACTATGACCTCCCTTTGCACTGGGTGAACCCCCTTTTAAATATTTTTCTCTGTGCCCCCTGCTTCCTTCAGTATGTTCTTCCAAGTCCAATTTGTCCAAATGCCGTAAATAATGCTTTCTCTCATGCACCCATGTGTCAGTTCTATCTCTCTTCTCTTCCCCATTCTCCCTCCAGGACACTACTTCTCTTTCTTCCTCCCTTCGGGAATAAGTAGATGAATCCCAGGCATCCCTTCCATTTCCCCAGTCGGTCCGGTTTGAGCTTAATGGACTATGTGGGGAGCTACAGGAGGTAAAGCTTGGAGTATGCGATCTTGGGGACAGTGAACGGCTTATGGGGCTGCGAGACCGAGGTCTTTCAGGTCCATACCTAGAGCATAAGGAGAAAGAGGGATGTCACTTATTAGAGTGCTTCAATACACCAATTTGTTCCTGCAATGCTACAGCAGCTTTCATGCTTTTTAAACCTGTCTCTAGAAGTAATATGATGTATTGCAAATCTTGTCAATATAGTAATAGTCTGAAACACAGTTGCTTTAAAATAACTATAAATTGATAATGGGTTTGCATCATATATACACACTTTTGTGGACAAACATAAGCCATAGCAGAAAAAGGATAATCATAGGTCCAAGCCTACACAATAATTAAAAATATTGTCTAATTATTACATTAATGTTAATAATTAAACATTGTCTTGCATGCATAATAATATGCATATTATGTGAATGGCTTTATAATATGTGAACAGAGCCATCCACATAATCAAACTCTAGTGATGTTCAGTCGAATAGAGATTTGTCCAGAATATCTGCCTGTCAATCCATCCATACATCCTTATTCAAAAGTCTGCATCCTGAAAGAGCTTGTCTCCTCCCCTCCCCACTTCCTGGAATACTCCCAGAATGACTCTCTTCACAGCCAGTATGTTGTTTTCACACTGGCTACAAGAGTAGAGAGAGGCTGCACTGACTATGGAGCCCTAGCTCTGAACTCTGGGCAAGTTTCCAAGGTTGGATCTGGGATTCTGAAGTTTCCTATGACAATATAGACAGTGTTTAAAGATTGGAAATGATAAAACCAGAAGCAGTAGCTGCTAGCCTTAGCCTTAATAACATGTATATAATATTAATATCTTCAAAACCTGTCAGCTTCTCCCTAAATTATCTAAAAGAATCAAATAGCACCTCTCTTGTATGGTGCAGTCGCTCAGCTTTTTTGACACATATAATAAAAACAGGACAGAGATTTGTAATATTATGCAATACCAGTCTGCTTCTCGCAAGATATCCCGTTCTCTCTGAGAATGGATGTCCTGAATTATTGCTGCCACATTTCGGCCTGGTTTCTAAGCCAAATAAAAATATATTCATCAATAAGTGAAAATGAAATTTATATAGTACTTCAAAATCATTTAAAATCAAAGATTGACATGGAGCAGGACTATTGCAATGATTTCAGTGTACAACTTGTGTATGATGCTACAATTCAGTACTCTTCATGTTAAATATGAGAATACTGAACTAGAAAATAATTGTATCTACATTTATACACAAATTGTACAAACTAACAACAACAGCTTGGAGATTATAGGATGATGCCTTTATTTTCTGGAATTCATTTTCGAAAATGATACAGCACAAATGTTGTATTTTTCTCATAGCAAGTACTTTTCATATTGTATTAGGCAGAACTGAAAAACTGGCTTCATGAATAGTTTCATTTAGTGTATTTGCAAGTGAAAGAAGCTATGAGTGACTATGAAATGTGGGATTCTCCAGAAGTTCAAAATCCACAGCTGAGCCAGAGTGTTGAGCACTTACATAAGAAAGGGCCAACAGATTGTAAGGGTGCAATGCAGTGGGCCTGCCCATAGCCCCCTGAATTCAAAGGATTATGGCATCCTATGCAGAATGTGAGGAATTGCCTTTGCATTGCAACCACACTGCAAAGCAGCTACATGGCCAGTTTCGTCAGTTCAACTATGGTGCTTCCAATGGGCAGGCAGGAAAAGGAGCTGTGGTATCTCCAAGATACATTCCTCCCTCCCACTCCCTAAATCCTTTCTCCAGAGTTGCTCATATGACCTCAGCAAAGCAGCTAGTGTAGCATGTTAAATGTTCTGGGAGGGCACCAAAAATATAAGGCCAGGGGAGTTCTTCTTGACTGTAAGTCTGATAAAAACCAAACTGAAAACTTTTTTTTATTATTATTACTATTTGATAACTATTTGGGATGCAGAAAAAATTGAAGGGGACTAAGTATGGAAGGTCACTACATATTGCACACAGTTCATTATAGCCACAATGAAAGCCACTTTAAAGGTTAGGTTAATTTCCATCAGAAAATTCTCTAATGCAACAGCGATCTAATTAATATGCTTATTTTATTTGCATCTAGAGAGAAGTAAAGCTAAAAAACTACCCTATGTTGATTTCCTGTCCCAACACGCCACAAATATGTGACTCAAAATACTTGAGAGGAAACATTAAAGCACATCTAGAGAATATTCGTATGGCTTCTACAGATCATCTGGCAGACCATAGGATAATTCAGATTCCCAGAACTTAGGTCAGAAACAGCTCTGACTTTGGAGCTGAGAATCTGTGCTCTGTGATCTGAACCTCTTCCCCCACTGACAAATGACATGGACAGAATGTCATCTGTCTTTCTTAAGTCAGAAAACTGACCTCAGACATGGGATAAAGAAGCATTTTGCTGAAGAGGAGTCTGGGACCACCAAGATACAAGCTTCCTTCCCTCCCCTTCTGAAGAGGATACAATTGATAGTAGTGTGCCTTTAATGTAGTGCAGCATTTAGTTACCCTTGCTGTGATTAAATGCTATATTATTTAGACATTGTTAAGGAATACTTGCAAAAAATGAAAACATTAGCATGCATCATCCTTAGTTAATAAATAAGAGTACCATAACTGTTTATATACTAATAAATTTAACAGCCCAAAAGAATTGTGTATGATATATTGATGACCAGTTGTCTACAACTTTGAATTGGTCAAGATTGCTTATCATAATATATGCAATTGACATCCATTTGTTGTTTCTAAAAGCTGCTCACAACTTATTTGTTCTGCACAGAAAAGTGTATTACTAGGGACTGGTTCTAGTCATTATTGGGGAAAAGAAAAATAGAATTGTATAATATGTCTCAGAATTAACTGGGTGAAACTTTCTTGTTCTATAAGTAGAAGAACATGATGGTGATATAAACCTGTGACAACAGTCAACAGGTCATGTTTACTTGTTAGCTATTTTAATGTTTCATCAGTTTAAATAGAAAAATTGCTGCCCTTGAACAACACGCACATATATAAGTAATTACACAGTTGCAAGAAAAATCAGGAAAAGGCACTACCTAATACAAATATTTACACATGAAGACCATTTCACAATTAACACCTAGATGAAAGAACAAACCTTTTACCTTCAGCTGAAGTTCTCTGTATCTTTTAGACATCCTAATGAGTAATTTCTCATCATTTATCATGGCAGGCTTCTCTTTGTAGTATTGCACCATAGCTTGAGCTGCCTCTGAGTATGCCATTTCTAGAAAAGCCTGTTAAAGTGCATCAATAATTTATAATTCTCAAATTCTAGATCATACAGTAAAAGCAACAAAGATTATAAAAACTGCATTAGGTTATTTCTTTGTTTAAAAAAAATCATGCATGCATTTCTTTGCTAATCAAAGAAAATAACATACTCCAGTGAAAGTTACTGGTAGAGGTATCTTAAAGTGTGGTATAAAGGAAAGAATTTTGTTCTTTCAGTTTTGCACTTTTGAATGTTAAAGAGAGAAAAGTCAAGAATGTAAAAACTATGCCTTATCCACAACTCTAAAAGGCACTTAGAGGCTTGTCCTCCTTTGCATCTGGCTAATAGCTTAATGGGAAAAAAATACATCTGAAAGATTTCAAATGATTTTCATGGAACTGGTTACATAGCAATTAGCAGAAAAGCTAAAAACATTATTTACTGTGGTTTAATTAGGAAGTATATTTAGGAGTTAAGGACACTCCCAAAGTGGGTGTAGAATAAGGGGATATACTCTGCTACCCATTTGTTTGGTGTAGGATTTGTGACTTCCGTTCCCCTTAAGCATGGAATCTGTGATCAGACGCCTTCAGTGTAGAGATGGATGAGCTCTGCCTCATTCCTGTCAGGTAGGGTCAGGAATAAGCTATTTCCCTCAAATTTGGGCAAATATTTTCAAAATGACCCTGGCTAAACCCTTCCACCATGTAATCCTGTGATTCCTTGTTGGGAGCCTGGGGGAGCAGGTGAAGCAGCCGCAGCACAAGCATATCTGGCACTCCAGGTGTTGTGTGGCTGTTGGGTCTGTTCTCCTTGATGTCATCCAGGTGGCAGAGGTTTGGATGATCCAACCCAGAGGATGCTCCTTACCCCTGCCTTAAGGTATTTTGAACTGGGGGGAAATAGAGAAAATACGTATCCTGTGTTTATTGGGAAGAAAGTAGGGATAAGTGAGGGGACAGAATCGAATACTGCCACCCCACTTACACAACTAATGTAGAACTAGTTTAAGTGACCTCTAGCACTATGCCACTAGTACAACAGGTTTTCTGGGGGAACTAATCATGCCATTGGTGTAGCTCCTGAGGTTGCTTGTGTTAGTGCAATATTCATTGAATAAGCAAAGGAGCAGCACTGGATACTATCCAGGAGGTTGGTCTGACCTCATTTCCTTCACGAATTGACAAGGATCCCAGTTCTCATGTCCTTCTGGCTAAAGTTACAGCCAGTACGATAAGTACTTAAGGTGATCATTTTCAGTCATAACGATCTGATGGGCTCATTAGAAAAGAAATTGTGAGCAGCTTTACAGTTATGCTTAGCACTTAGGTGGGGAAACTATGGATACTAGGTAGCTTGAGAACGCTGCTTCCTTTTTTAAAAAATGGATTTGGTGGTGCCTGCCCTACCTTTCAGGACCAAAACAGTTGACATTGTAGACACTTGTCACTAGAGAATGCCTGAAGGAGTTAGTGTAGTTGCTATTGAGCTTGCTCCACTTGGAAAAGGTTTTCCAAGCTGTTTTGTAGATTCTCTTGGCTACCTTAAGCCATGGGCTATTAGCCACTCTAGAATTATGGCAGATGGTATTTAAACTCTGCTGCTCAATTTTCAGGCTGTGAGGAACAGCTGGTAGGGATATGGGGGCCCTAGTTGAGACACTACTGCTCCTCTAGAACAAACTGTATATTTTCAATTGTTAGGTTCACAAGATTGGACAAAGAAGCCCTCCATGGCTAGCAGGGAATGCTCTCTCATGTTTCAGTATTCACAGTTTAAATTATGACATTAATAGGAAGGAAACCAGATGTTTTTCTTCAAAGTCCTTCACAATGGAGCTTTGTGATGAATTTCACCTGGTCAATTAACTATAGCATTGCTCCCACAGCCTGTTTTCATCTATGAAGGCAAAAAAGAAATTGAGTGAAGCTCCCCCCCACCCCAAAAAAAGTAATTTTGTATAGTTATAATTCTAAAATGTGATAGGAAAAAGGTAATCTACACAAGAACAGTCTCTTCCACTGGGAAAGAATGTCACTTCTACACTCCCTATATGTCATTCTGGGATTTCTCTGTTGGTTTTAATTTGCAATATGAGTATCTGACAAAATGTATGGTTGCTTTTAAAAAGTGCTTGCAGTTACAACTGTTGAATTCAATAGATTAGAATGTATTCTGCTTTGGAAATAATGTGAACACTGACAAAATTGGTGGACATCTAATGAATTTGAGAAGGACATAAGCTAAAATGGACAACTGAAGTAGGGTACCCTTAATTACTTGCAACAAATAGTCATTTTTTCAATAATTTCTGCATTGAAGCATACACAATTTATTTTAAAACTTAAGCAATATCTTCACATGTGTACATTTTTATTGTAATTCAGATGACAAAAAAGACTACCTGGTTGGTAGATTTCATAAGGATATAATTAGTGACTTTTCCAAAGGGAAGTCCGAGATTGATGACATCATTTTCCGTACAGCTTCCTTCAGGAAGATTACAGATATGCACTACTCGGCCTGGGGTACATTTCCTTTGCGGCACCTGAAATTATTGAAGTAACTTTAGGTACAGATTTATCAAATGGCCACCAACTAAGATCATGTTCTTAAACTCATTTTCTTAATCTTTTCTGAACAGCTCTTACACTTTGCCTTCTTTAATGCCAGCTGCTTTATTTTCTTAACCCAAATTATTTCATTTCATATCTCAGAATCCCAGTTTTCCACAGAGTGCTCAAAGGTCGTTCAGATCAAATTAGCAATTATAAACATCTTACTTAACAGGGAGACAGAATAGCATTTAAGTCTCTGTGTCTCAGGCTTATCTATACTAAATATTCATCAAAGGTCAGGCACTGAGGCATGTGGCAGATCTGAAATTCCATGTCTATGTAATAACATTTCCATTGCATATTCAGCATATATTAAAGTGCCAAATTCCAAGAATTAATGTTGGCATGGTGTAGCCTCATATTTTGACTAGGTATACTTCTCTAGAAAAATGCAATATTTAAATCAGATCAAAGATGGTTCTTTCCCTCCCAGAGTATCCCTTAAGCAATTGCTAGTAACTTCAGCCAGTAGGAGTCTTTAAGGACAATTTAGTTGCAGAAAATATTTACACTTAAACTCACCCTCAGCAAAATAACTGGAATAATACAGAAGGAATGGTAGCACAGAAAGTTTTATTTCACCTTTTTAAAGGACAAATAGGTCCAGCAACAAGATGCTTCAGTCTATTTTTACCTCCTAACAAAAGTTGAATGTTCTTTGAGATATACCTCAAAAAGTATATATTTTAAAATGTTATTTATGATGTTTTAATTTATTGTTGTAAGCCGCCCCGAGGCTTCGGCGAATGGGGCGGCATAAAAATGTTTTAATAAAAAAATAAAAAAATAAATACTGTTCCATTCCTTGCCCGCTTTTGCTTGTTTTTCCATTTTTATTTCCTTTTCATACTGATATTCAACTTTCCATGAAGACTATACAGGCTCACTCTATTTTTTTTTTTTTTGAGGGGTGGGGTGTTACTTTTGTAAAATATGAAGTTTGTAATCCTTGAGGTTCCCTTGAGCATGAAGATACCTCCACCTTGTTTCTTGGGGGCTCCACTCTGGTTCTAATTCACCAGCTGAGTTCACTATTAAGAGGGAATGATGGTTTACAATACTATCAATAAAGAGATGATATTATGTTTCTTCTCACAATAACAACTTTTTGGAAGTTTCTTTTTCAGTAAGATCATTTTGAATACATCTATATACAGTTTGAATAGAAATGTGTTTTTTGGCTGCAAACTAGTACCATGATTCTGCACTGAAGCCTCAGCTATTCTGGAAATGTCTGCTGAACACCAGCCAATACCTTTTCTATTGTTGTTATATTGTTATAGGACATCCTATCCTGTTGTAATTATTTTAGGCTTTTACTGGTATAACTTGGCAGGTTATGGTGTTTGCTTGACGGGGGACAATGGACAGCTAATGCGTCGAACCTGGGTTGCAGAATATAAATGACTGCAGAGAGGAAGGCTGAGCTCAGCACCCATTCTAACTTCTGTATTATCTCACAGGCAGGCTATTCGCAGTGAGTCCATACATGGTTGGCACTTTCAGAAACTTGCATATTTTGTTTTTGTTTGTGTACAGAGCCAAGTACATAGTCTTTGTCTTATGTCAACAATTTGTCCAAGAGTGAATCCCTTCATATAATAGCATAATGATACTTAACCCATGTGGTTTACAAGCTGAAAGTATGAATACCATACTATAATGCATCTCATCTATCCTCTGTCTGTAAGCCACTTTAAAAACAAGACAGAGGAATAGTTTTCAGTATGGCTACAAACATGTAATTGTTTTTGTCATCATGAATATGATGGCTCATAGAAAATACTTTGTTTAAAAACTTGTGCCCCGTGCCTCCAAAGCTCTGACAGAAAGCAGCAGCAACAATGGACCACCACGCCCACCAGCATCCTACATTTCCATTGCTGCTGAAAATATAGGGCAGCTCCAAATGTTATTGGTGTCTTACCCCAGTCTTGTGCCAGAGCAAGGCACAGAAGCGGAGGATGAACTGCTCCAGTGCATGGCTGCTTTATTACCAGTGAATAACATGACCAGATTTGCATAGTGAGCCAAAAGCTGACAATGTGAACCTGCCAAGCATGAGAAAGGGCCCTCAGCGATGGCTCTCTGAATACAATTCTTCTGTGCCTCCTCCCATTGCACAAAGTAGCTGGGGGAGCACATTGGATTAAAATCGAGCAGTGGCGGGGGGGGGGGGGAGATGCTTGTCATTAGGCCAAGGAGTTGTATTTTTAAGAAGCCTCATTCCTCAGAGCTGAGAGGTGCAACTGAGGGGCTTTTCTAGACTTTTTAATTATTACAATGCATTGATAACCCACTTTTCTGCCTCATATGAGGAACACAAGGCAATTTATAAGGTTCTCCTCTTCTCCATTTTCCTTACAACAAACCTTTGAGGTAGGTTAGGCTGAGAGGCAGAAACTGCCCAAAGGCATCCAGTGGGCTTCATAGTTGAGTAGGGAACAGAACACAATTCTCCTGCTTCTTTTTTAAAGTTTTCATTGTGAGAGGGGAGGAAAATGTGTCCTTTACATGGTTCACTTCCCAAGGGTTTGTCTTTCTCAGCCTTTCTACAAATTCTGTTAGCCTGCCACAAGATGTGGTATAGCTGCAGTATAACAGATTTGTGACTTTTCATGAGGCTTTCCCCCCAGAATGTTGTGGTTTAAAATTTAATACCAGACTTTTCTTGCTCTAAAAAGTCTGCTAAAGAGGCTGGAACCATGGGAAGAGGCAGGATAGAACTACAACCTTGTAAAGACTCTGCAAACTTCTGTGATTTGAGGGATCATGAAGGCACAATAAATGTCCCATGCAGAGAAGCCCTAAGAGAGGTAGTTTAGACTGAGGCATTGACCCATCAGCTCTGGCTGAAGCAAATGTGTCACTTAGGGTACTGCCTTGCTGCTCTGCTTCATGCGCCACCATGTTCTATGGGCTTCTGCTCGAGGCCTGGACATAACAGTTGGGTGGTCTTTCCACAGAAACTGCAGCAAAGACCCTGCCCCTTGCCATGGTTGTCTTCAGTTTACATTCTGATGACATGGAGAAGGAACTGCCACATGGGCAGTACATGGATCTATATGGGAGGTCATTCCAGCAGTTTGTGGGCTTCAGCCTAATCTAAGGATCAAATGCAAAGAAACAGAAGCTTGACTTGGGCTCAGATGCTGACCAATATCTAGTACAATTGTTCCTGTATAGTTTGGATTTGTTCCTACTTCCCAAACCTAATCAAGAGGTAGAAAACAGCTCCAAGGACAGACCCATATAAAAACAGATGACAGTTATCCATTTGCAGAAAGAGGTTATCCATCATATTACTGAGGAGTAAAGCAGAAGCACTTGCAAATTCCTAACTGAATCAAACCATGTATGTCACAAGAAGGACCAGTTCTTTCTACTAGTGAGACAGCAAAAATCCTTTCTGCATTGTATTGCAGCCTCTTTAACCTCATCCATTTTACATCAGTCTTTGACCAGGTAACCTATTATCCATTCAGCCCATATGGAGTACGATTTAAGCACTAAGTGCTTGTATAGTCCCTGACTGTTTTGAGTATCTCTCTACAGCCACGGGGGGGGGGGGGGGGGGGGATGTGCTCTTTAATGGCATTCTTAAAATCCAGCTCTACCTGGAACTTTTCACCAAATTCTGTGGCCAAAATAGCTTCAACAAAAATCAGTTAAAGCAATACTTAAAAGTTTGATACTGCCATCAAGGCTGAGGATTATTCATATGCACCTGATAATTTGTCCTAAGTTATACTTTAAGGCAGCTAGGCCAAAGATTTCCTGTTTCACTGTAGCTACACAGAGACACACGAACAACCCCTAACACCTGTGAAACTATGTAATCATATTAATATAGTTCTAATTTGGATGTGGTTGCTTCTTCTGAGACAAACATCTGTGCATAATATGTAAGAAAACCTTTTCTTAATTGTTTAGGACAATGATCTAATTTACCATTCTGTTTTTCCCCCAGAGCAAGTCAATCAGAACAATCAGAATTTAAGAAAGAATTTGGATCTATCTTTCAGGCAAGGTTATCCAACCATTAGCAGCAAATATTTGAGAGTATATGATATTTATTTATTTGTACTGTTTTTATAGTACTAAATATTAAGAAAGAACCTTAAGGTGAGCTAAGAAGAGTTTGTTTCCAGGTTAAGGATTAAGGCAAAAAATGTCATATAATCAAATAATCCATTCATTGAATCTCTTTGATAAAAGAGTTTGAGAGACGCTGGCCTGAAGAGCCACAGTGAATAATTACTTTTTTCTAACTCTCACTGGAACAGTAAGCAATCACATAGGTGGAATATGGATATAGTGGACCCAGACCCAAATTAAATGTAGACCAGCCTTTAGAAGAACTGCAAATTGCTTTAATTTTGTTAAAGCAAATTGTCATGTTTATCAACAACTGGACCATACCTTCTGAAAATTCAATAAACTAAATAACGTTTTTCATGTTGTATACTCACATTTACTCCAGGTGGTGCAGCAGAAAATGTAGAACTTGGCTGGCCAAATGCAGGTGTAGAATTGTATGATAATCCAGCATTTAAAGTGTAATCTAAAGAAATGGCACACATCCAGTGAAAACTTAGAAATGTGTAAAGTGCTGTGCAAAAAATGCAGATAAACAGTCATTTTAAATAAATTAGCTGTACCTTTCTGCCTGTTATTTTGGCCTTGTGAAAGCAAAGCTAATTGATTACATTTTTTCATATTTATTAGGAGACCCTCCTGCAAAAAATTCCTTGCAGGTCTATAATTATCTGGATGAAGGGAGAAATTTCAGTTTCCCAGTGTGTCTCATCACAAGCCAGTTTCAGTTGGCAGGATGAACATAAGATGGTTGAGTGTCCTGTTCATTACCCAGATGCCTCTGGAAAGTGCACAAGCAGGACATGGGAGCAATAGCTTTCTCCTGCTGTTGTCCTTCAGCAGCTGGGACCTTGAGGCATCTTACCTCTGATTCTGAAAGGAAGACTTATCCATTGTTTTAGTAGTCACTGATAGTCTTGCCCTCTATGAACCTGTGTAATCCCCATTTAAGGCCACCCAGGTTGCTGGGCATTACCACATCTTGTGGCAGTTAATTTTATAGATTAATTGTGTTCTGTGTGAAGCAGTATTTTGTTTGTTATTATTCCATTTCATTGGATGGCCTTAAGTTCTAATATTGTGAGAGAGAAATCCTTCAATCAATACCTGGGGTCCCCAAACTTTTGGATGTTCAGGCATATTTAGGAATTTAAAAAACTAATGTAAGTACCAGCACAAAATTACTAATCAGTGGATCACTGCTTTGTTGTCTTTTTATCTTGCCTATGAATCTAGGCTGTGTCTTATTCAGTAGAACCATCTTGTTTTGCATCTGTTGGACACTGCAAAATCTCTTAATGAGGGAATGTCTAATTTGACTATATGGCAATGCAAAACAGCTGATGCTTTCTTTAAACTTATGTTTTGGTAATGTCCATCAGTTGCTTCATTTAGAGGGGAGGTTAATACTCAGATAAATTTTGTGCTGCAACAGTCTTTAATATTCACTGATGTACATATTCTTTTAAATTATTTATCTGCTTCATGGACATTTCCAAATAGGAGAGAAAGTGGATTTTCTGCACCCATCTGACAACCAATAGACTGCTATTAAAAATTCAAAGCATAAAAACTCACCTCCTGTAAAACAATGGTTTGAGAACCATACAATACTTTCCATAAAAGAACATGTGGCATATCACTATCATCTTCAGATGGATGCATATTTGGATATTTGGTCTGATTATTTAAAGCCTATGCATAATTACCAGAAAGTTGTACACGTACCATGTAGTTATTATTTTTAAAGGGAGGATTAATAAAACATTAAGACACAGGCACAACACTGGAAATCCCTGCTCTTCATGTAATGTGTAACTCTCTATACTTCTACCATTCTTCATTAGTCATCTTATATGCTCAGTGAGAATCTCTAAATGCTTCCTTTCCTTGTAAAGGAAATTGATGCTCCAGCCCCCTAACATTTTTTTCTTAAGTTTTCTGCATGTTTTTCAGTGCCAAACTATCCTCTTAGAGATGTGCTGAGCAGCACTATACTTCAACAGCAGTTGTACCATTGATTTGTATAAGAACATTACAAAATTGCCAGGTTTTTCTTCAATCCTGATCTTAATGATTCCTAGCATGGAATTATCTTTGCTCAGAGCTGCTAAGCACTGGATCGCTATTTTCACTAAGCTCTCCTCCACAGCCTAAGACGTCCAGATTCTATCAAGTTAAACCAACAAAGGGTTTTGTGGCCCTTAAAAATTAACACATTTATGTTGGCATAAGCTTTCCTGCACATTGTCCACTTCAGGAGATAGATGGAGTAGTCACCTAAAACTGGCAGATTTGTCTCAACAATGTTGGGTGAAATGTGGAAAAAAACAGCCTGGAAACAGAAGTTAGTGCGCAACAGGATGCAACAGCAGGGAGCAGGGCACAAATATCAGGCAACCAGTCACAAGCAGATGGTTGGACTCAAGTGCAGCAAGCCAAGGATGTACTTCCTTGGACAGCAGGAATAGATCCAACTAAATCCTCTTATGTCACCAGTCCAGGGCCTGAGGGTGCCAGAGCCCTGCTCTTAACATAATGTTGTAAGGAAATTACTACATGTAATGCTATGGAATGGCTTTGAGCTGTGCTTCTTGCCTTTTCCAAGAAGGATAATGAAGACAGCAAATATGTGTTGGCATTTGTTGGGTGGATAAAGACTTTCCAAGATCTTTTTCTCTATCTGAAGGATTTTAACATCACTTTCAACATTGCACTTTTCCAGAACGGTGAACAGGTTTTTTAAAATAAGCATAAGCACAATATTAAGCAATAAAGCAACAAACAAACAACTTGCCCACTGTAAGAAAAACAGTGCAATATCAGTAAATGAAAGCATCCAATAAGGCGGCAATCACAGAAATGAATTCAGACTTACTTTTTATTTAAAAAAAAAATGTTCTGGGAAGTTTGGGGCAGTTCTGGGAAGTCAAGGAAAATTTTCCTTTGGCTAGATGCCCAGTGCATCAGACAATATGAAACTTCCTGGGCAGGCAATCTAGCTCATTACTGGAGGACTTGCTATCAGAAAAGCTGTGGGTGGACCATGCTCACAAAAGTTGTAAAAATGTCAACCTGCATCTTTGCTCTTTGCTCCCATAAACATTCCAACAAGATTATTCCAGAACTGTACACTTCACATGTTTAGAATTTCCCTCAAACATATAATGCACAGTCATTTTGTCCTCTATTCAAAAAGAGCCAGTGAAACAGATTTGCTACAAATGTGTGTTAACTAAAAAAACCCTATTATTATTATTATTATTATTATTATTATTATTACTACTACTACTACTACTACTACTACTAGTACTACTACTACTAATTTACCTTCAGTGCCAGAAAGATTAAACACAGATGTGTGCTTTGGAGAAGAGTGCAGCACTCCTTCTGCTGAATTTAATACACACCGAATGTCAGTGCTAAAAGGGAAAAAGGCGTTGAAATTCAGAAACATGGTAGCAAAATTTGGAGTAAATCTTGAAGTAAATACTCAATTATTAGATGTTCTTAAGATTCTCTGCACCAATTCTCAAGGCTGAAGAAGTCTTGCACAAATGTTAGCTAAGAGTGGCAGAATAATAAGTAAGCCTTTCATAAATAGCACAAGTCAGTGTGCAACTACGAATAGGGCCTGGACCCATTGCACTACATGCGAGGCTGTCCATGCAAATAAATTCATTAAGAACCTTGTAGATGTATTAACATAATACTTGATTCAAAGACTTCAACACCTAGATAAGTAATAATGGCCTCAGTATTCAGGCCACATCTCACCATCATGTTTTTAATGCATGTACACATTGCTTAGCACACTTGATTTGTTTACAAAAAGTTTCAATAGTCTTCAGTAGAATCGACATCCATGTAGTATTTATGACTGAGATGTTTTATAGGTAGTTCAGAACATTAGAAAATAAATGTTTAGATAGTATTGAAGGTATTTGTTATTTGTAGGCTGCAATCGCATAAAAGCTTAGACAGAAACAAGGCCAACAACTCCCAGCATGCTGCAGTCAGCATAGTCAGCTGGACCATGACAGGAATTCTAGGCCTTTTCCTGCCTAGGATTGCACCTTTTGTCACATTATTTATGGACATGCATTTGTTTCAGTGCTTAATACTCACTTCTCTGAGAAAGCAAGACATTTCTGAACATGAAAATTTCCTTTAATGTGCTGATCCCAGTCCTAGGGGAAAATAGTGACAAAAAGTAATATAAAATAGTGGAAGTGCTAGAAGAAAATATAGTAGGCTTATTTGCAATAGATCCTGTGAACAATACACATCTATAAAGCTATTAATATAGTTTAACTCCCTTGAATACCCACACCAGTTGAAAAACATTTTTCTCTTCCATCTAAATGATATTTTAAAAAATATCTCTGCTCAGTGACCAACATTTCCTAGAACAAGAATCAGTGACAAGAAAGCTAAAATACCTCAGCCCATTTAAAGATGAATCCTTGATCACTATCTCAAACCATATTTTTCATTTTCTTGGGTCCTGATCTAATGATCTGTTCTCTACCCCACACTTACAAATTTGAATCAGGTTTCAGATGTAACTTAGGGATAGAGAAGTGGTAAACAAGTGATTACAACAGTATATACCAAGACAAGAAGTTGCAAAGTTTGTAGTTTGGGAAAAAGGTCTCTATTAACAATGTTGCACTTAAGGTCATACTGCTAAGGAAAGTGTATGTATGTATGTATTTATTTATTTATTTGAGTTTTAAGCTGCCAATTAGCATCGTGGTTTCTGGGCAGTCCCTTACAACAAAAGTACCACTAAACCTTAAATAAAATGATACAATTAAAATATAATAATAAATATTGAGTGATTCCAGTAATATTAATAGTTTCTCATAGAGAAAACACATCATTTTATGAATGCAGCTATTTGCAAAATTATGTAACAGGTTTGAATTTCCATACAAATGAAATCCAGCAGGATGACTGCAGAAGTCAGGCCTCACAAGACCTTATTATTAACAAATGAATGAGAGCACCTTTCCACAAACCTGTCCACTGAGAAAGCGAGATTAATTAATCTGATGTTTTAATATCTGCTTTCTTTTCAATGACCTGATGAAACATTAAAATGCTACAGTTCAGTACTTCAGTATATGAAATATTCAACATTTATCATTCATTCATCTATCCATAGCACCTTTGCTCAATGTGCAATGGACAGAATGTTTCCAAGGCACATCTACCATGCTGATTCAATAAACACACACACACAATATTCATGGGATTGTAGCTCAAGGGTTTTAAGCCATTCTAGTCAGAGTTTCTACATAGTTTGGGGATTCAAACTTAATTTTTCTAACCAGTGCAGTAGGTTAAATCTCTTAAAGTCATGTCTGTACAACTCTAGCAGCATTAAACAGGTGATATGGTTTGCCTAATATCATCCTAATTTTGAAAGTCAGGCTGAGTCCTGGAAGATTGTATGTGTTTTCTGAAAGCATATACAAATCTGTAAGTAAAAACAAATACAGACAGTAAACAAATCTAATATGGTCTTAATACTGTCCCTCAGACTTCATTCACTGAACTAGATTTCTGGATAATAGAGAATGCTCCAAGTCTATTTCAAACTTACCTTTAGATCAAAGACCTTCTTATCACATAAGGTACAGATGTGGGGAAAACAAAGAGGTGCTATGCTATGAAAATCGTTCAGCTCATGAGACTGAAAAGGTCTTGTTGACAAATCTTGTGCAACGGGTTCCTGAGTCTGCCTCATTCGTGAGTTACTGAAATGTTGTTTACTGCTTTTAGCTCTGCTGAAAACAAGGGGAGCTCCAGTACTAAATTTTGTGTCAGGTGTTGGTTCTTCAGGATTGTAGAGATCGTTTCGTATTTCATAAGGGACACTTGTTGATGGCCACATGCTGGCATTGGGCATGATGTCAGGCTTACTTTGGCTAGTAAAAGTGGAAGGATTTTCCCAGTTAGTATTTGCTTCTGTTTCATGTACTGCAGGTCCTGTCTCTCCTTTTTGATTTATAATCTGATGAGAAGTATGTGGGTCACCAGCAAAAGTCAAAGTTTGAATGCCAGCTGCGTGTTGGCCTTTAGAAGTGGCTCCATAAAACTCTTTCTGAAATCCTGACTGGTTATCATGTTTACCAAAATGTCCATCGTAGCTTCCACCTCCAGAGGAAGTTGGGACTGCATGAGACCCACTTGTCACAAAGCCGTGTTGGCTGCACTGTTCAGCATCAGAGGGAAATGCTTGTTTACCATAGTCATAAAATCCACCTGTAGCAGAAGAGATGCCAGTCTTATTTAGACCCATAACTACAGCGTGTTGTCCAGCTGTCTGAGATACTACACCCCCAAAGGGATTGATAACCACAGGACTTGGGTTTTGATTTTGAAGGTTAGCTACAGGTCCCAAGGTTCCACCTGGTGCTGCCATTGCAGGGTTCTGTGTTGGAAAATGTATTCCACCAGGTGGAAATCTAGTATTGGCAACCCCAGGCCCTCCACCATGTCCCTGAGGGGTACTGAACATGGAAGGGTGTCTTAATTGGTTGAAAAGTGGCTGAGACATGGCCACTTTGGAGAGAACTTGATTCAGGACAGTTGCAGCTGCTGTGTTGTTGGTGACTGCTGTCTGAGCCAATTTTAGCCTGTGCAGGGTAAGCTGGGCTTGCAGCTGAGCAAGCTGAAGACTTGCAGGAGAAGGAAGCAGTGGATTCGGGGTGCTGACAGTGAATAGATTCTTGTCCAGAAGCTTGGCAGCACTGCAAAACAGCAGATGATAGTTTTAGTTTTAATGAATATTTTACAGTGGTCCCTTGTCACCAGATTATGACTAAGATGCTACCCCTAATAGCCATCCTTGCTAAACCCCTGGAAGGAAGAAAAGTGATTTATGACATACCGTTAACCCAGCCCATCCTCTAATGTGTCTGGAACTATATTCATTTCAGTTATGATGCTAAAGGCAGATTGGTGTTTCAGAGATTAAAAGGAGCTTATGTTCCTTTGGGACCCAAGCCAAAAACCAATTTGAAGGTCAGTGAAAGGACTTCATTGACTGCAAGGAGTTTTGCTTCCTTTACTGAGCACCTCCTTGGATCATATATGGTCATATTAATTTGGAATGTCTGATGTGAGAGGTAATCAGCATAAACAATAGTGTTATTTATAGTAACGGATATCTATTTTAGGGCACAATAACTATAAAAACTTTCAAGAGATGTATACTGAATTTGTTAGAAATTGCTAACCTGCCACTCTAGCTACATCAATAGCCTTTCCTTTTGACAGTACTTGCATATTTATTTGCATATTTGCAAACTTTGCATATTTATTTATTGTATTCATTTCTGAAATGCAATGGCTGAAGCTCTCTGAGAACTTCACAAATTTTCCATTGCTTATACTATTGTCATGAGCAGTTCTACTCCCTTGTACATTGAGTCTGATGAGTTCTGATCTGCTGTAGCAACCCTAGCCCCATGGAAAATTCAGACTATGTAGAAGACATCTAAAGAAGTGGGGGTGGGGTCTGCCCCAGGGGCCCCAGTCACACTGCACTGTGGCCTGCAGAAGGCTCCCAAATGGCAGGACAGAATGGAGGCTGCCTTGCACCTGCTGGATCCAAAGGTCTTACTTCCAGAAGGGAGGACCCAGGATTGCTCCCCTAATGCCAATCTGAAGCTGGCATCTCTAATTCCCACTCACCCCTACTTGAAGACCACCTAAGGTGAGACGAAGTCCCGATGGTGGAGAGCAAAAAACTGAAGTTACTCCTCCCTGTGCATCTCCTGATCTGGCAACAGTGTAAACAGGGAGTTTGAAGTGGCAAATGATCTGCCGTTTCTCTCCACCCAGTTAGGAGAGTGATGCCTGCCATTATATCCATAGATACTGACAGTCATATAAATTTATTTAAATCTTTTTACCCCCTTTGAAAATGAAAAGGCTCCTTGAGTGCCTTTTCAATGATCAATGATCAATGAAATACAAGGCAGTTCTTGTCCTCAGCCTTACAGACATGGCACAAAAGGAAATCTGAATGGGGAAAGAATATGAAAAATGCTAACTTAAGAACCAGTTATTGCAGCTACAAAGCTGTTATAATCACTAGTTAAGAAACAGTTCAAGGAGTGGAAGGCCCAGCAGGAGGTGATTCCTCAGTGTTGCTGATGGGAATAGTCCTGCATCCCATTTCTCCTGCAGCAGCTCTGGCAGTTGAGAGAAAGGTTTCTCAGCACAGCCCATGCAATGGCCCTGCTTCCTTTCTCCCTTGCTTAGCACTGTATACCTCAAGGGCAAGCCTTGCTCTGCATGTGGATTTTCCAGTTTTCCAAAGCACACTGCTCTACAGATCAGCAATGTCAACACTGAGGCACACAGGGCTGGATCAGGGCCAGATTAGTTCTCACTGAAATCAGCCAGTCCTAATTATGGCTATCCTGTCCCACTGACTTCAATGAGATCGAAGTCCAACTAATGTATTCCAGATCCAGTTATTAGTGATGTACAGAATGACACAGAACAAGATAGGACATCCTAAACTAGCCTGAAGCAAAGATCCATGATAAAGCCACTGTTGCATCCTGTTCCTTGCCAAAAATACAAGAACCATGGGTGAGGAATGGGAAGCATTTTTCCTACTTCTAGCAGATCTTGGTCTGTATTTTTCTGTCACTGATGTCACTGGGAGGAAATATACCTACATTCACTATTACAGGGAACAGAAGGGGGTTGAATGCAAGAGAGCCAAAGCTGCTTCGCTCCCACTCCCAGGATGCCCCAATTCAAACCATTCCCCTGATTACATTTGGGAGGGGTATCAAGCTGCTGGGGGCAATAATTGGGGCTTTAAGGTGCAACCCTTTCCTGTCAGCAGAGCTCCTCTCTGACAACTGAAAGAGACCTCTGCAGCATCCGCCTAATTCCTGTTGGCCACTAGATTTAGGCCAGCATTCCCCAAGTATCAACTGCAACGGGCAATTTAAAAACATTGGGCGCTTAAAACTGTGAAATTTGCTAAGGATTATTAATAGTTAATATTCAAATTTTCATGACTAAATTAGTGTTATAGTAGCTTCCCCAGAGAGGATTCCTTCTCAAAAAGAAAAGGAAAAAAACAAAACAAACAACAGGGCCTCTTTTTCAAAAGGGCATCTTGGAAATGGAATTTTGGTGTGGAAATTTTATTAAATGAGGCCTCAGTGTGAGGCTCTGTCTCTTGAAAGTAAGTTTAGAAGTTGGCATCTTTTGCCTAACTACTAGAGGGAAATGGATTAGGAGAAGAAAAAAAATAAGAGATAAAGTACATAATAATTTATAAGTACATAATAATATGTACTTTCTGTAAGTACATAATATTTAACTTTTCTAGCTCTTTGTCTTTTTCCATGACCTGCATTTTTGAGGTAAATATATTTAGCACATTTTGTACTTCTCCATTTATACTTTTCCCAGAACTTCATAATGCCACACTGAATCAAAATTAAATATTCTTAATTTTCTGTCGTTTAAACTATGAGGTAAATCTGGCATATGTTGGTGATAAAATTTAACAGCAGCAGTATGTCAGCTAAATCACTAATGGAACATATAAATTACTATGCTTTGCCATTCCAAGCAAGTTCAGGAAACGTAGTTTACAATGTGGTAATTGCAAGTTATACCGTGTGAGCAATACACCCTTTTGTTTAGATGAAGTCAGTTAGATAGAAAGGAATGACTGCAGCTGCTTTTCTTATTTGCAACTTTGTTTGTTGGATTTTACACTCTTTGCTGTCTTCAATTACTTATACCATAAATAATCAGCATACCTCAAAGTGGTTCTTCTCCATTTCCAATATTACTGTACTGTACTTACAGTATTTACAATATGAAATGGGAAATATTATGTATCATGAGTCAAATAACCATATGTGGAATGTAAAAATAAACTGCTTCAATGATATCTCTCTCTTCATCCACATTTTTCTGCTGCCAAATAATATTTACAGGTAACAGTTTAATGCAGTAAGGGCAATCAAGTTAGAGGGGTTACACCCAGGATTGCCTGATTTTCAGGTAGATGTGAAGCTTATCTCTTTAGAAGTTCCATACTGGGCCTCTTCTGCAGCTGCAGATTCTGGTTCTGCAATAAGAGGAAGGAGTAGGAAAAGTGAAGAGATTTTTCAGCTTGAAAGGAGAACTTGGCCATTAAGCATTTAAACAAATGACTCTCCCCTGACAGTTCAACTTTGGTTGCTTCTCACTAGTTATTTTCTCTGGAATTGTCATAACTAATTCACTCAGCTGTTATGCAGAATTTAGAGAATGTGGATGCCAAATCTTTGCACGCTCTTTTTCTACGCTGTCCTTCTAATTTCTTCAAGCTTGTGTCCCATTTTTTCCTGATTTTAAATGCAATACAGTGCCAGCTTGTCCATGGTGGACTTGCAAACCTCTTCCGATACACCTAACAAGAGAACTAGACTGTTGGGCAGTTGCTGAGGTTATTAATGATGATCGCCATGCACACCCCCAGACCTTTCTGCATTGCTTGCCTTACAACTCCTATACAACCACAGGTGTGTCACAGAGTGTGATGCTAATAGGCAGCCTTTAAACTAACTAACTAAATGAGTGAATAAATAGCATGTCCTCCCATGTGGACACTTCCAGAACTTCATCCCCTATAAAAAAAACAAACCCTTTTTGTTTCTCTGGCTGAAGTGCCAGTATATGAATTTTGTCATATTTCCAATAAAACAATTGTTTATATACAAATTTTAAAAAATGTACAAACCATGGTGAATGGTTTCTGTGCCATAATGGGAATAGCAAAGCACAGTTTCAGTAATGCCAATAATTCAATGCTTGGATGAGGCACTAGTTCAGAAAACAACCAAAGAAAAAAGATGTTTTCAGTAACAGGAATGCCTGCAAAGCAGAGGAACTATTTTCAACAACTATTTGCTATTTGAAGACTGCAACCCTAAGCATACTTTCTACTGAATGCATCTTCTGAAAAAATATACATATGAGCTTACTCTTAGCAATGGGGTCCATGGGATTCTTATGGGCAATTTGGTACTATCATGTGTTACACAAAACCATGATTTTAATTCCCCTTCCAACTGACAGCAGAAGAATAGTGTCTCAGCACAGGTAAAAGATCCTAATGTGGAAAGGACCTTTACTGATAAACTTATAATAGATGTTGAAGTTTTGTCAATATGTTCCATTTTAATAGTAACATGCTAGAAACAACATCATTATAGAAAAAAGCAGGTTGTTTACCTGTAACTGATGTTCTTCGAGTGGCCATCTGTGCAGTCACACATATGGGTGCTGCGCCTGCGCAGTGCCTAGGCCGGAAAGGTGGAAAGCTAATGGTTTTGGCAGGAAAAACTCCGCTTCCCCTCCCCTCGGTAGTATATATAGAGCCGAGTGTCCGCCATTTTCTCCAGTCTTTGGAGACCATACGTTTGCCACCTCATGGAAGAAGACAGCATAACAACCTAGTATGTATCGACACATTCCCTTCCGGTACCGATGTTACAAGCATGAGGTACCGAAGCAGTATTATACGGTACCGATGATGAAACCACTCACCAACACCGAGCGGGGCCAGTGGGTGGGTTGTGTGACTGCACAGATGGCCACTCGAAGAACATCAGTTACAGGTAAGCAACCTGGTTTTCTTCGTCGTGGCCTCTGTGCATCACACATATGGGTGAATACCAAGCTTACCAGAAACGGTGGCGGGAGGTGTCGCTATTGAAGA